CTGGTTGCTTAGGTGCTCCGTAGTATCGATCAGCATAAAAAACTCCTGATCATACGAAGAGCTACGATGCCCAACGTAGATCGATCCCTAGAAATGTTGTATTTGTCAGACTTTTTGTGTTACAAAGGCGGGATAGCCATGTGTATTTCTATTTGCTCTTCTGTGCACAGCGATCTCTGGGAGGCTCTTTCATAATAAGATTTGGTCTGTTTTTTGTCCTGGGAGGAGCCTCTAAACCCTTGGAATTCACCAAGAGAGGAGCGTCTTTGTTATTCCTGGGCCCTAGGACCGCACCTGATTTACTCTAAGAGGTGACTCATGGCTGCCTGACATAGTTTGGGGAGGGGGTGGCCATGCCCCACCAGTCATGGATTAGAACACTGGGACTGTGAGCCACTGAGATCTCCCAGCCTCGGGGAAGGTGTGGGGACTGAGTTTCATCATGTGGCCAGTGATTCTGTCAATCACACCTATAGGAGGACCCCAGTGAAAACCCTAGACCACACCCATATGCCAGAGGGGGATGCTCCTGGTTCCAGGGGAGAGACCTCATCCCACATGTCTGTTCATTGGGGTGGTCCTGATCTATGTCCTTTAAATAACTCTGTAATCATAAGTGTAGCACTTTCTTGAGTTCTCTAGATGATTCTGGAGAATCATTGAACCTCAGGGCTTCTGCACAGTCCTTTGTGCCATCCCCAGACATTCCCCAAATTCCCTTCCCTCCCTACCCAACCACCTCCTGCTCCTCCTTTACAGTCTCACTCTCCCTCCCCCAATGCCACCACAGCTACAAAGCCTTTTCTTCCTCCTCCTCAGGAAGCGGAGGGTGGAACAGCTATGAGCACAGACCCAGTGTGCTGTGCAAGCTGGGGCAAGGTGGTCACCATGTGTGAACCTTACTTTTCTCACCAGTAAAATGGGTCTAATAAGAGCATGTACCTCAGCATGTTGAGAGAATCAGGTTAGAAATGCATGGAGTCTGACAATAAACCTTGGTGACTCCTGCTACTGGAACCCATCCCCTGTGGTTTGTAATCTGTGCCAACACCTGAGAGTTCTATCACTTTATGTGACAACACATGTGAATACGTTTACTTGTCCTTCCATTCACTGGACAGTGAATACTTCACAGTGTCACAGTAAAATGAAGAGCCTGGACTCAGAAGGTAACTTTTACATGTCCAGTGTCTGAATCTCAATAGCCAGGGGATGGAAGGATGGTCAGAAGAGTGGCTGGATACATGGATGGATGAATGGCTGGCTAATCAGATAGATGGATGTATAGTCAGATGGATGAATGGTGGATATGAATGGACAGCCGAGTGTGTGGACAGAGAGGCTGTTTAAATGAAGAAATAGATGGATGGTCAAGTGAGTGGTTGGATAGGTGGATGGTCAGATGAGTGGATGGATAGTCATGTTGATGGATGATTGGGTAGATGAATAGCTGGATGGATGTTCAAGCAAATTGATGAATTGATGAACAGTGATGTGTGTGAATAGACAATTGAGTATGTGGAGAGATCGCCATGTATGTGGGTGGACAGCTGGGTGTGTGGATAGAAGAATGGAGTCAGGGGAATGAATGGTTAATGGACAAGAAGTTGAGGGACAGTTGATTTGCATGGATGTATGGACAGATAGATACATGAGCAGATGGATGAATGGATGCATAGACAGATGAAAGGATGGATAGATGGATAAAGGGATGGGTGGATGGATGGGTAGATGGATGGGTGGATAGATGGGTGGATGGGTGGGTAGATGGATGGATGAGTGGGTGGATGGGTGGATAGCTGGGTGGATGGATGGGTAGATGGATGGATGAGTGGGTGGATGGGTGGATAGATGGGTAGATGGATGGTGGACGGATGGATGGGTGGATAGGTGGGTGGGTGAATGTCTGTCCTCCAGGACTGCTGTGGAAGACCAGCACTACAGTAGCAGGACCTGGAAAGGCTTCCCCTACACAGCCCTCTTGCTGGGCCAGAGGAGGCGTGGTGAGGTGGAAGTGTGCACACCCACTGCCTCATAGTCCCCCCATTACCTGTTGCATCTCATGTTCTAGTTGGAGGAGGCTCTCATCCCGCTCATGCTTCAGGCTCTGAATTTCCTCCTTCAGAGCCTCCCTCTTGGCTGCACTTTTTGCCACCAGCTCCTTCTCCTGTTCCAACCTGCATGCTGCCACCTTCTTCTCCTCCGTCAGAGACAGACTGAGGGTCTCCTGGGCCAAGACGAAGGGACAGGCTGTGAGGACCATACAGGTCAGGACATGTGAGACCAGCAGTGCCTGTGGTCTGAGTGAGACCTGGTTCATGGGACTTCAGGGCAAGACAGGTCCCCAGGGATTGTCAAGCTGGCTGCAAGCCCCTTGTCTCACACACAGTGTCACTGAAGCAAGAGCTGCAAAGGGGCTCTCTGGGCCTCCACCTCCACCTCCTCTATCTGACATGAACTAACAGTTCAAAGGCCTTTCCTGAGCCTCCACGGCACGCCACGCACCAATGACATGCATGATGTGTGCAGGCATGTCAAACAAGGCCTGCAGGAGTCTTGGCCAGTGGGGTGGCTCGGATGGGTGATGAAGCGCCCTCCAGCTTTGGCCCTCAACCTGCAGCCAGGTCAGTCAATGCCCACAGCTGGCCCCTCCTTCGAAGGAGAGGACCTAGCCACACTGGCTCAGCCCCATGACCCTAGCTGCCCACCTTACCTATGAAGGGTCCTCTCTGGCCCCCACCTGAGTGTGGCCTGGCACCTCTGCCTCCTGCCTGGTCTCCTAGGACCCCTTCCCTGAGGGTCTGCCATGATCTGGGACATGTAAACTCCCAGGAGTGGCAGCAACTGGTGGCCTAGGGAAGCAGACCTTCTCCCTCTGGAGCCGTGCGAGGTCCTCACAGTGGGCCAGTGCCTGGCTCTCCAGGGCCAGCTGTGCTTCCCGCTCCTGCTGCGCCATCTGCCGCCGTAGCTGCCCAATGTCCCACTCCAGCTTCGTCTCCTGGACCTCCCAGGCGCCTTTCAGTTGCTCCAATTCCACTGCAAAGTGACAGATGTATCCAGGATTGGCCACAGGGCCCCATGCCATGGAACACCCTGTGGTCTGTGCAAGCCCCCTGTGGAGTGACAGCCACCTGCTCTGAGGACGCTGCCCAAGCAGGCAGGGACAGAGTCCCACCACAGCGTGTATTCTGGCTATGGACAGGCCTAGGGCTGGGTGAGCCACACATGGTGAGGTGGGCTGAGCAGGGGTGGGAGCTCAGGGAATGGGGCAGGGGCTGCCACACTGACCCAGGTCTAGACCCTGGGAAGCAGACTGGACAGGCCACCCCTCACAGATGGAACCCATTCAGCACAGGAGCTCAAGGCCCGAGTTGGTGCCCTTCCTGGGGACCAGGCAGTGGGAGCGACACTCGGGGACTGAGCTCTATGGAAGGGCCCTTCTGGGCCATGTGGGGAGAGGAGAGACAGGGGGAGCTGCTGGAGCACCTTGCAGGGCCTGCCGGGCTGCCGGGCCCTCTGGGCTCTCCTCCAGATGCCTGGCGGGCCGGAGCTCCCTGCAGCAGTGAGCTCAAGAGCTCTCTCACACATCCTCTCGGCCTGTGAGAACATCAAAAGGGGCAGCACAAGCATCCTTTTGTGGTGGAGGAGGCTTTGCAGGCAGCTGGTAGCAAAATAACAGAGAATTCTTCTCTAATCTGAAAACAATTGACCCACGAAAAGTCAGGAGTGAAGGAAGGAACACAAGAAATCAAACAACATGACACACAACTAGTCTGATTAAGGGGGAAAAACAAAGTGTTTAACTTAAAACCACACGAAGAAAAAAGATGGCAATCTAGATGGGATTTCGAA